AAACAGTGGTCAAAGGTCATGGTGCAAATGGACCGCCTGTTCCTTTTGTGTTTCACATGTTTTGATGCGTATAGAAATATAACCTACTGCTATAAATTATAAAAATAAAACAGGACCGATGGAAGCTGTAAAGGTAAACATGGTTTTAAAGGTGTTAAAGTGTTTGCTGAAGTCTGGTTGTTGGTTTGCCCCCCCCCCCTCACATCCTCATTTCATTAACCACTTCATTTTCTCAATCGCTTTCTGTGACGGATGAGTTCACGGGGGCCGATCTCACCGGAGGAACTCGTTAACCTTTGACCACCTTCAGATGGTCCTTTCAGATCGGCTGATCTGTTCACAGGAATTCTGCACACTGATTTTTTTTTCTATTTCATATTTTGTCCAGGATCAAATTTAAAAGTAAAATGATCTTGAATAAATGTCAGGCTTTATAAGCATTTTCTGTCAAACATCATATAGAGGACAGATTTTCCAAAAAAAAGCTGAATTGTTATCTTATAGTTTTAATTAAACATCCAAGGCCACAGAGACAAAAATCCAAAAAATTTAAAATACTAAAACCAAAAAATCCAGTAACATCAGGGTGAACGCACATGAGGAGCCAAGAAACGACGCGGAACCAAACAGTGACTGACCAGGAGGTGTATATATGGGAGACTGAACAAAGACCAGGCTAATCCGCAGATTGGGAGCAGGTGTGGACAGAAGAATCTAGAAGGGAGTAGGGGTGTAAATCAAACTCATCATTGCGATTCGATTCAGTATCAATTTCCTGACCCAACGATTCGATTATTTTTGATATTCATGAATACACCACGATTCAATTCGATTAATTGTTTTTTTTGTTTGTTTGTTTGTTTGTTTTTTTTTTACCTTACAGGCTAGACAATATTTTACATTTTAAATAATTAAATGAAAGCTGCAATATCGTTATGCCTTTTATTTGGGAAACAATAACAAATAACAAAAGTAGCAAAGTTTTCCCTCAGCTAGACCTATGAAAACCTCATTCACTAAGAAATAATAATGCCTCAGTGTGTGTGTGCAAGCGGAAAGAGGGTAGTGGCTAAAGGAAGCGAGGTAGGAAGGCAAAACAGGTTTATCGCCACCACAGCACAGGAGTCAGAATTACGTCCCTAAAATTAACATAAATCAATGCTTTTGCGGACGTGCCGATGCATCGGATCGTCGGCTGTTGGATCGATGCATCTATACAAAACGATTATTATTTACACCAGGGGTCTTCAACATTTTCCTGGCCAAGGACCCCCAAACTGATGGCGAGATGGAGCGGGGACCCCCTAATTATATATATATTGTATTATTAAAGTATTTCTGATTCTGTTTCCTGGTTGATGGGACAGGTGTTGTGAATGAAATGGTGTCCAGCTTGAAAGAGCTCCTGTGTGTCACTGAATGTGTGCATTGATGACTGAAAGACATCTTCTGCCTCCATTTATCTGTGTGTTAATTCATGTTAATGTGTATTTAAAGACATTTCAATTAATGAAAAAAGTTGCAGGGGGGAATATATAAAAAAGTCTAATCAACCAAAACTTTCGAGACCCCCATGCAGTACCTCGGTGGACCCCCTAGGGGTCGCGGACCCCCTGTTGAAGACCTCCGATTTACACCCATAGAAGGGATCTAGGAGAACAACACCAATATAAGAAGACAACAGACGGTAAACAACAAATACATAAGAACTTTAATATATATATATATAAATCAAAACAACTAGAATAACACAAAATGGAAACGAAACAAGTTTCCAAATGAAAGAAAACATCAAACAGAACCAAAAAGTGCAGAATAATGACAGCAGCAATAAAATTAAAGTCATTTGCATTAGATTAGGTTTCAGCTGATATTTATCTTCTAAAATAATGTAATTGTAACAATAAAATCACCCGATCTGTAAAGCATGTAGAGCTCATTTTTACCCGCACATAAATAGATATAGGACCCATTACCCCTTTTGTAAAGATTACAATCTTCAAACTAAATGCTCGTTTTTGAGACTTATTGACATCATGAGCTTTTGGGCTGTTTAGACCCGACATTCCCTCCTGCTTCCATTTCTAAAGAAAAAACCATCGAAACACCTGCATCTCACTACAGCATGGAGCCAACATACGTTTATTTATAGACCTTCATTCATTTGCAAGATCATCCAAAGAGCTTTAAGGGACAAGAAGGAAAGATGGCAAGAAAATCACCAAGTAGAAGCATAGAGGCGTTGCTTTAAATACAGATATTAAAGGCTTGAAATAATCAAATGTTTTAAACATTTTTGCTGCTCAGGTGCTGTGTGCTTTTTTTCCAAACTGAGAAGCATAGAAACTAAACACATCCTGACTGTTTAGTTCTGGTCCTGGAAACACAGAGCAAGCAGGTACTAAAGACCTGAGTGGTCTGAATGGTTTATATTGGAGAACCAATTCCAAAATGTATTTCGGTCCAAGATGACTGAAGGTTTGTATTGTTAAGACGTTCTTCCTTAACTTTTTTAAGGTGGTTCTTGGAAAGTCTTCAAACAAACCTAGTAAAGTGTGGCGACTCTTCTCACTATTGATTAGGCAAAGCAGAGCAACCTGCTGATGCGTCTTAGATTGTTGTTTATTCTTCATTCTCCAAAGATACAAAAAAGCTTTTCCTGCATGAAGTTTAGGGAAATTTTTTTGTTTTATGAACTGGTAACTTTAGTCAATCAGATCTTTAAACTCCAATGGGATTTAGAGTTGATATATTTGTACTTTCGTTTAATTTATTTTTATACAAGTTAATAATGTCTGAATGATTAACTGTCAAAATCATCATCATCTTTATTGGAAATTGAATCGTTACCAAGATTAATGTTACACAGAATATACTAGGGACACTATACCTACAGAAATACGTAAAACTCTAGAAATATCATCTTTTTAAAGTTTTGTAAACCTAACATAAATTCCAACATTAAATTGATTCTTTTTTATATCACATTAACTCATTACATGTATATGCTTTTATAGTTTTTGTGTTTTGTTATTTGCTGATGAAGATTCTCAGTGGTTTCCAAGATTTGAATCAGAAGCAAATCTTTCAAATCTTGGAAACCAAGTCCAGTGGATTTTTTTGAACTTTTACGGAATGTTTTTTTATTCGCAATTTATTTAACATACAAAATTAAGATTAGTTTTGTTTTCTATACTGCAAATGTTTGATTATTTAGAGCGTTTGTTTGAATGAAAGGATCTTATAGAGTAATAATTTAATTTAAAAGGTATTTTACCCAAAATGTCACTGTAAAGTACAGCAGAATGTTATTATTTTCCAATTTCCCATTAAAATATAATAAAGTAGTCAACTAACAAAAAATAAACCAGACAAATAAATTAAAACAAACACACAATAAAGATTTTGATTAATCAATTAATCCTCAAAATAATCAACTGATCAATCAATTACTTTAAAACACTTTTTAGGTGCAGCCCTGATATTGTTCTATGTAGACTATTGTCAGCAGCAGTATCTGGAGCTTAGTGCTGCCATCTTGTGGACTGTTGCTGTTGTTTTTGTGAACACTTTCTATTTTTGTGGATATTTTTTGAAAATGTCATCTTGTGTTGAATATCAATTAACCAATACATAAAAACATGCTGTAGTTAATCCTGCAGCAAATAAATAAAAATAAAACCAAGCATGATTTAAGAAAATATCACAACAAAATATAAAAAGCATATAACCTGATTAAGACTATAGGTACGGAGCCCCCTAGGGGACATGGGGAATGTTTTATTCTTTTGCATTCCCTTGCAAAGGTATTGCGTTACCTCGCAAAATTTTGTGTTACCTCGCAAAACCTTTTGCGAAACTTTTGCGTTACCTAGCAAAACCTTTTGCGAAAGTTTTGCGTTCCCACGCAAAACCTTGCTCCGGGCAAGTTAGAAAGATATTTATCGCAATACAACAGCTGGTTTGGAAAAATACACCTTTTTATAACTTTTTGTGAATAAAGTACACAGAGATGCAGATAGGCAGATAAAATAGGATGATATTAATGCTTAATAATAACAAAAAAATTCTACAAAAATAAGTAAAGGTGTATTTTTCCAAACCAGCTGTTGTAGTGCGATCACCAAGAGCCCCTTGGTGTATGTGGTGATTTTGGAGTCTCTGCACCTTATGGCAGTGGAGTTATTGATTTTTTTATTTGCAACGTTTTGCTGTTGTTTTACCGTTTTCAGACGGTCCCTAACCACTCGCCTGGCTGCAATACTTTTGCGGGATCTGGCAAAAAGGTTATTTTTTGCCAGATCTCGCAAAAGTTTTTTTTTTCCCCTCCATGTCCCTTTAGGGGCTCCGTAGTTTTGCGAGGTAACGCAAAATTTTGCGAGGTAACGCAATACTTTTGTACGGAGCCCTTAAAGGGACATGGAGGGAAAAAATAAACTTTTGCGAGATCCCGCAAAAGTATTGCGAGATCTCGCAAAACTATTGCAGGATCTCGCAAAAGATATTTTTTTCCCCTCCATGTCCCTTTAGGGGCTCCGTACTTTTGCGAGGGAACACAAAAGCAAAAAAAAATTTCGCATGTCCCCTAGGGGGCTCCGTATATAGTAAAACATATTTTAAACAATAAAAAATTACACTTGCTTTTTTCTTAATAAATATTTCCTGTTTAGTTTCTTTAAAAAAAAAACTTTTTAGCATATCATTATTACCTTGGGACACTGTGTGTTTTTAGTGTATTTTCATGTATCGATTATTAACGCAGACTGACTGATTTGAAAGTAAGTCCAGGAAGTGCAGTGTTTCCCCTCCAGTCATCACAGAGCAAACATTAATGTTTTATCTGCGTTTTAAATCTCCACCAATAGCTGGCCTCAGCCTGCCTTGTGCAGCAGATGACTGTTTATGATTAACCTCCTGTTGACATGTGGTTGAGCAGACTGTCAGCTGGGAGGAATTCTGCTCAGGCTTCAGCAGAGGCGGCTAATCAGGATCAGCCCCCCCACCCCCCCCACCCTCCCAGTGGGTGTTTCAGATGGACCTCTCTGTGTCTCCCACAGCAGATCTGCCTCTGTGGAAGTGGGAGCAGGAGGTGAACGTCCCTCTGTGCATGAGAGCCTTCCTGAAACATGGTGAGTAAACAGAAGCTGCTGCTTGTGTTGAGCCTCTCACTCACCTGTTTGAATCAACTCACCTTTATGTTGCTTATTCTTTTATACTGGACTGCTTATTTCTATGTGGGTAAAATGTGAGGTTTTCCTATGTGTCTGACTTGCATGTGGACCTTCAACATTGGAGGGATTGTTTGTGATCTGCTTATAATGTCACTGCCTGTGCAGATTATACTGTTGCTATGATACCTGTTGATGTCACTGCTCTGTTTCAGGCTGAGGCAGGGATGTCTGTTTGTTGTGCCGAATGAGGCCTTTACATTTATTCATGTTTGGTTCAGCACAAAGCAAATGTGAGAACAAAGAATTCATGTGACTTTGGATCAGCAGTTTAAATTTGAAGGAGGATGACATGCACCCCCCACCCAACAGAAAACATTTGAACCAGCCCCCTTTCATTCTTTTTTTTTAAAGCAGGAATGCTGCGTCTAATTGTTTCCAGATGGATGCACGTGCAGCCAATCGGTGTTTGTGTTTGCGAAGCTGCCCCTCAGTAAATCTGCTCTCCACTGTCCCCACAGGCTGGTAAGATCCAGACTCTGAGTGAAGAGGAGAGGGCCCACCTACTCCCCCTGCTACGAAACGCCCAGTGGGTGGAGGTTGTGGGCCGGGATGCCATCTACAAAGAGTTAATTTTCAAAGACTTCAATCAGGTTCTTGCATCAAAGATAATTCCATTCAATAAATGTTCGTCATTTGAACGTGACTGCATGACGTTCCCTCTCCTTCCTTCAGGCTTTTGGTTTCATGTCCAGAGTGGCTTTACAGGCTGAAAAGATGGACCATCACCCCGAGTGGTTTAATGTCTATAACAAGGTATCCATCTCTCATATTTACACCTTTATTTGTTGTTCCAATATGTATAAAAATAGGCTTAATTTAATCCAAAACCCTGTATTGATGCAATAGAATCTCACCCACAACATCTTCACTAATAAGTCCAACTTTTAGATTAATGTAATATCAATGATAACCTAAGTTAATTCAAAATGCAACTACTAATTTAGCTCCACCTAAGGTGGAAAACGTGTTGCCCCTACTGTAAATCTAATAACTGCTTGCCTCATCCTCTGCGACCAAAACATCAGGCATTTCAAGATTAGTGGAAACAGGAAACCTTTAAGGAGGAGTGAATCTAGAAAGTCAATGACTTGATGCAGTCAGCCGGGTTTCCTGAAACAGAAAACCTTTATCTAATCTGCTGGAAATGATTGTGCTGAAGTGACCTGTGAATTGGCCTTATGTAAATAAACAGTGCTGATTAATAAAAGAGTTTATTTTTCTATTTAAAGCTACTTTAGACTAACCTGACTTTGCCAGATGGATTTGCTCTGCATATCCATCTGGAAACCTTCCGTTGAAGTAATTTTGGGAAGGGGCAAAAATACTGGTTAGCTGATTGGCCTATGTTGGTGATAGACGGGCCAAATAAACCAATCAGATCAACGAAGTATATGACGTACTTACAGAGCGACGACGAAGAGGAGCCAATTGATAGATCAAACTCTTGCCGAAACCAGTCGGGAGAAGAGCAAAAACATCTTTTCCTCTGAGAAAAGCCTCCAGAGCAGTGTTTTGCTCTTCTTTCAGTGAAGAAATACTCTGTAACTCCGATAAAACTTGCTCGATAGCCATGCTAACGCTAGTTTCATCGGCTGAAGCCGCCATGTTCTTTAGACTGAACTGTTGCGCTTCTCGTTGCGTCACACCTCAACCCGCCTCAAAGCCAACGCTGATTGGACGTTCGTTTGGTGAACGGCTCCAAATTTTCTTCAACGGAGTCTCCAGACTGATCTGCGAGGGAAACCTTGAAAGCTCGCGAGATCAGGATGGTCTCACGAGGCTAACTTTAGACATAAAGGACGGTGAAATCCATTTGGTTTGATAGCATGGCTGCTAAAATATTATAGCTGCCAATAATATTTACATACTGCAAAACCAACACCAATAGTAAACCATAGTTTTGAAAGGCTGTTGAACAGACAACCCTGCACATACTGACTCATACAGAACCGAAGGGCATTTTAACTAATGCATGAGGTCCACTCACTGGAATATCTTTTAAAAGATCACAGCTATAGATAAAACATGCTTTATTACGTTTAAAAACTACAAACACATGTAAAAGCAGAATATTTTTAGAAAAATGCCTCTATCTTCTGTTTTTAGAGGTAAGGAGCAGACACTGCTTTTGGTTGCCTCACACAGTTGAAGCGTCTCCTACTGTGAACTAAAGGAGTTACTAAGAAATCTACAACATTAAAGCATTTTCCATTCTTTTTTCTATCATATGCACATTTAAAAAAACCTGAGGTTTGAACCACGGTGTCCTGAATGATAGCTACGGCGTGCTTGTAGGGAGACGACAATCGTCTTCATGCAGAAACACCCCATGCAAGGGTTTTAATTCAAACACTGCAACATATAATGCGATTAACTGCACCATTGTGCAGCTGGCTTCATAAAATTCATCTAAATAAATTACTATGGACTTTTTTCCACTCTAAGGCTATTAATAAATTGGATAAAATGTCATAAAAAGAATAAATCTGTATGGGGTCACATACTTTTACAGACCTGTGGATGTTAGTGACCAGGATTAATACGGCTCAAGGAGGGTGGTGATAAAAAATAATAATAACAATAAAAGTCAATAAATCACTGCTAACTTGGTGTCCATCGCAAAATAGTTTTTTTTTTCTTATTCCAAGCAGATTTTAAATGATTTTTATTTGAAATCGTCTACGACCCAGAGGCGGATTTCCTTTTTCAGTAACAAACACTTTATGGCGAGTTTGGAAAGGAAGAGCATCTCATACTCATACTAGTTGGTATGTAGGGTAAAGGATCTGTGATGCTGTGGGCCCGCTTTCTTCCCAATTTGTTAAAACTTATTAAAGTTAGAGGGATCAGTGGGTCAGGAAGGTGGCGGAAGTTTTTCTTTGGATCTTTCATTCAATCACGCGAGGAAATCAGAGAAATAGTTCATCAGACTCAGAGTCCCCCTTCTTCCATGGACACCTCATCCTGTGGGTGGAGCTAAAGATGAATGAGTTTAAGAGAGGACTTAGGGCTTTGAACAATCCAGAGAGATTGTGAAAGAGCAGTGATCAAAGATCCCTGTCTGTGTGCTTCTACTGTACACAGAGATATTTGCTGCTGCCATGCTGGTTAAACAAACTTTGGGTTATTCTGATGAAATCACACACATTAGATGCTTATTCTGACACATTCCTTTTGCTCACCTACAATCTATTCAGTAAGAACATGAAGGAGAAGCTGCTTTCATCTTAGGTAGCATTAATCATGGAAACGTGTTAGATCCGATCACTTAAACTCTCTTCATTGTGTAAACGTTCATCCCAGCTGTTCTTCTCTTCACCTTCAGGTCCAGATTACTCTCAGCACACACGACTGCGGGGGGTTGTCTCAGCGCGACATCACTCTGGCCACCTTCATCGACCAGGCCTCTCTGATGTAAAACTGCTCCACGTCCATTAACTGAGAATCCTGAAGATCAGACTTTAAATGTCCAGAGAAAAGAGCGGGATTACTTTCAGCTCTCTGTGAAAAGTCTTAGTTTGTTGTGATGTGCAGTGTTATACGAAGCTGAGAAAAATCATAATAATTCCAACAATCAGGAAGCATTCCAGTTAGTGTTACAGAGAACATTGTGCTTTGTGTGGGTGATGTTTTTATATGATGTTATTAAAATGTTACACTGCATTTGTGACGTACCTCAACATGAACCAGGAAGCCTGGAGACCCACTATGATTCAACTTTATCGTGCATCTCTTCTCCAACACCTGCTAACCAGGGATGTGTTTCATTTAGGAATGTTGGAGCCACGGTGCATTAAAACGTTGCACAAAGTGACGTCTCCGGCACCACTTGACTGAAAACAGCAGAAACAACTAAATAAACAAGTTGTTTCTGTTTTTTTTTTTTTTTTTTTTCTACTTTACCACATTAGAGTATTGGCAGAAGATAAATATACTTGGTGTATTCATCATTTAAAAATCCCTACGCTGGAAAAACATTCCAGAAATAAGCAAACATTTCTTAACCCTCCTGTTGTCCTCGGGTCAAAATGACCCGCCACTGTGTTAAAACACCACAAAAAATCCACTAAATTTTATTTTTTTTACTTGAGATTTCAAGACTTTTCCTAGATTGGCCAAGACAATAGAAAAAGTTAAATATTCCTTTTATTCACATTTCCATGTAAGCTGTACAAAAAAAGGTACAAAGATGGTCTTCGGGTCAAAATGACCCTTTGAAGCAAATGGAGTTGAAATCAAGGTCACAGAGTTATTTACAAACCAGAGAATGTTACAAAGTTTTAGTAGTGTCTTAGATCAATCAGTAGCAGAAGTAAACAAGGCAAATCAGGTGGTGTTCTCGCAGACTTCAGAAGACCACCTGTTATTTCCAGAGGTTATAAAGGTGCTGCATAACAGGACCCTGAATTGTGTCTGTGCTGAAGCCATGAGTGTGCGTTACAGCCCTGAAGAGGCTTTAGAGCTGATTTTCTCACAAGTTCAGCAAGACAATTGTGATTCAGAAGAGGAAGTAGAGGATGTATCCGAAGAAGAAGATGGAGAAGAATACAACCCAGAGCATGATGAATCATCTTCAGAAGAAGAAGAAAACCCTGAAGCTGAAACTTTCCTTTCAAAAAATGGCAAAATAACATGGTCCTCAGCAGCATATGACCAACACGGCAGGCATGAAGAACAAAACATTGTAAAGATGACCCCAGGACCCACAAGGTATGCAGTTTCTCATGCCCATGATATTGTTTCTACATTCTACCTGTTCATCACACCAGCAATAGAAAAAATAATCCTGGAGATGACAAATCTAGAGGGTTTTCGCAAATATGGAGACAGCTGGAAGAAGATGGATGAGATTGACCTCCAGGCCTATTTAGGGCTGCTAATCCTAGCAGGTGTATACAGGTCCCGAGGTGAGGCTGCAGCTAGTCTATGGGATGCAGAGAGTGGAAGGCCAATTTTCCGAGCCACAATGCCACTGAAACTCTTTCATACCTACTCAAGACTGATAAGATTTGATGACCGTGAATCAAAGATTCAGACAAACTTGCAGCCATAAGAGAGGTATGGGACAAGTGGGTGGAGCGGTTGCCCTACCTCTACAATCCAGGCCCTGATGTAACAGTGGATGAGCAACTGGTTCCATTTAGAGGTAATCTTTTTTTTATATTTGTAATAAAAGTGATTTTCACTATTGATTTCTTTGACTGTTTTCTGTGACACTGATACTAATCACTGATGCTAATGTCTTTTGTCCAAAGGTCGTTGTCCTTTCCGGCAGTATATGCCCAGCAAGCCAGCAAAATATGGGATCAAATCATGGGTGGCTTGCGATGCCAAATCAAGCTATGCTTGGAAAATGCAAGTCTATACTGGGAAGTCAAACAGTGGATGCCCAGAGAAGAACCAGGGGATGCGAGTTGTGCTTGATGTGACAGAGGGACTCAGGGGTCACAATGTGACATGTGACAATTTCTTCACCTCTTATGAACTTGGACAGCAGCTCCTGAAGAGGAAGATCACCATGGTTGGTACAGTTCGAAAGAACAAGCCTGAGCTCCCACCTGCACTGCTTGCGTCAAAGGAGAGAGAGGTCTTCTCCTCAAAGTTTGCCTTCACACCCACCACCACTCTAGTTTCCTACCTCCCAAAGAAAAACAAGAATGTAGTTCTTCTGAGCACACTGCACAAAGACAACGAAATTAGTGAGGACAGGAAGCCAATCATCATCCTGGAATACAACCGCAACAAAGGAGGTGTGGACAACCTAGATAAGGTGATTGGAACATATAGCTGCAGAAGAATGACTGCACGCTGGCCCCTGGTCATCTTCCACAACATCATTGATGTGTCCTCCTACAATGCCTTTGTGATTTGGAGAGAGATCAACCCAACCTGGATGTCTTGTAAGCAAAACAAGAGGAGGGTGTTCCTGGAGCAGCTAGGAAAGGCACTTGTAACTCCACTCATTGAAAGAAGGAAGCATGTGCCCCGCACAGATGCCTCAGCAGCAGTTGTGAAAGCTATTCAGAGTGCAGCAGCTCCTGATCAACCTGAGGATCCATCTACCACAGCCACTTCCCCAGCTAGGGCAAGTAAGAGGAAGAGATGTCAGTTCTGTCCTCAGAAGAAGGACTGTAAAACACATACTGTGTGCTGCAGGTGTAAGAAATATATCTGCAAAGGCTGTGCACTTGCATACTACCCTACATGTGCTAATTAGTTGAATGGGTTATGTTATTTGTCATATTTTTTGTATTGTACATTCTCTTAAATTGTTCACTGGAGAAAAATAAAAGAAAATTAGTCTTGAGATGAATAAAAATGCATTCGAAACATCTTTTTGCACATTTTTTTCTTTTCTTAAGCTATATAAATTCAAGTAGAGAGGGAAAACTCAAGTATTCACACATTTTGTGGTGAATTACAATATACAAGATGAAATTTGGTGTTTAAAATTCAATTAAGCTGCTTATATTGGGGGTTTAGTGAAGACGGGTCATTTTGACCCGGAGGACACAGGGTGTATACAGAAAATGAGGACAACAGGAGGGTTAAATTAAGTGTATTTACCCTTAATTTGAGTAGGTAAATTAGATAGTTTGCCAATGGAATTAGTATTTTATACTCATAAAATAAGTTAATTAGATAGTATGCACTTAAAATAAGACAATGCAATTGTGTTTTCTTATTTTAGGTGTAAATTGTCTTGTTCCATTGGCAAAATCGCTCTTTTACCTCGTCAATCCAAGAACAAATGCACCTTTTTTAAGAAAAAATTACTTATCTAGATTTCGATTTTTTTCCATTGATCTTGTTTGCTCTACCTTCTAAAACATCTAGGTCCACTTCAAGCAATGTGAGCAAAGATTTAAAGGTGCAGAGTAATGTTGTATGCCTACACAAAAAAAGCCCTTTGATTAAACAAGTTTAAAAACATCAAGTGTCGGACCTGATGCTCTTTAGTTTGTAATTCACTTTTACTGGTTTTTACACAAATATATGAAATATTATATATGTATATATATAACTATACATATTTGTACGTCACTGGATGTTAAATATCCTTATAAACAAAAAGAAGTAAAGAAAGAAAACAGAAAAGAAAAACCATAATCTTACTGTAGAATTACTATGTAAGCCCCTCAAATTTTCATAAAGACATCTTCTTTATCTATCATTGGACATCTCATTAAACCATTCCACCATTGACATAGCTACTTATGTTTTCCAAGTGCGTAATATTATCCTGCATCCAACCATTAGAGCTTTTCAGCACCATGAGGATTGGTGCGCATTCAACCCACTCCCCTGTGGTACCACACCCAGGAGACAGAGTAAAGGTTGGCGTACCAGTGCATTGGACAGCAGCTTATTGATAAAAGACCCTATCTCAGACCATAAGGGCAAGAGTATAACATGTGCAATAGAGTGTCACACTCAGTATTGCACCTCCAACACATCTGATTTTCTAACCCCCAGCCGTGCCATTTTTAATGGGGTTCTATAAATCCTATTGATGACCTGATGCTCTTTAGATTGAGAATAGAATTCCTGCAACAGGAGCAATAAGCTGACATCGATATATGTGGCGCCATCTACTGGCAGAACTACTAGACATCCAAATGGTGATGTGGATACTTAATATATGCACACATATACATATATCTACACTGCCTGGCCAAAAAAAAAGTCGCTACCTGGATTTAACTAAGCAACTAAGCTTATCGAAACTATTTAACTATCCCGTGGTCGTGGAAAAGATGTTAGTCTGTTTGAGAAGGGTCAAATCATTGGCATGCATCAAGCAGAGAAAACATCTAAATAGATTGCAGAAACTAAAATTGGGTTAAGAACTAAAAATTGGAAGGATAGTGGGGACCCATCATCTTCAAGGAAGAAATGTGGCCGGAAAAAAATCCTGAATGATCGTGATCGGCAATCACTTAAACGTGTGGTGAGATCAAATCGAAGAAACACAACAGTAGAACTCAGGGCTATGTTTAATACTGAAAGTAAGAGCATTTCCACAGGCACAATGCGAAGGGAACTCAAGGGATTGGGACTCAACAGCTGTGTAGCCGTAAGAAAACCACTAATCAGTGAGGCTAACCGGAAAAAAGGCTTCAATTTGCTAGGGAGCATAAAGATTGGACTGTGGAGCAATGGAAGAAGGTCATGTGGTCTGATGAGTCCAGGTTTACCCTGTTCCAGAGTGATGGGCCAATCAGGGTAAGAAGAGAGGCAGGTGAAGTGATGCACCCACCATGCCTAGTGCCTACTGTACAAGCCTGTGGGGGCGGTGTTACGATCTGGGGTTGCTGCAGTTGCTCAGGTCTAGGTTCAGCAACAGTATGTGCTCAAAGAATGAGGTCAACTGACTACCTGAATATTCTGAATGACCAGGTTATTCCATCAATGGACTTTTTCTTCCCTGACGGCACAGGCATATTCCAAGATGACAATGCCAGGATTCATCGGGCTCAAATTGTGAAAGACTGGTTCAGGGAGCATGACTCATCATTTTCACACATGGATTGGCCACCACAGAGTCCAGACCTCAACCCCATTGAGAATCTTTGGGATGTGCTAGAGAGGGCTTTGCGCAGCGGTCAGACTCTACCATCATCAATGCAAGATCTTGGTGAAAAATTCATGCAACACTGGATGGAAATAAATCTTTTGACATTTCAGAAGCTTATCGAAACAATGCCACAGCGAATGCGTGCCGTAATCAAAGCTAAGGCGGTCCAACAAAGTATTAGAGTGAATTACCTTTTTTTTTGGCCAGGGAGTGTAAATAAATAATTTAAAATTACTTTATTTTATATATATATATATATATATATATATATATATATATATATATATATATATATATATACATATACAATAGCAATACAATGGCCATTCCCAGTCAAATGCAGGTTTTCTCCCCTACAACTCCCAGCAAAATCCCCTCCAACTTACAACCACTGGCATTCCTCCTTGGCGTGCATTTTATTTTTCTGACTCCACGCTTTCACTTAATTACAGGGTCTTACCAGTAGATGGTGCTTTTCTTTAGATCTTAATGTCCCCAAATCATAACAGAAAGAATAGTTTAGAACAAAGATTGATGTTTAAAAAGGAATGAAGGGGACCAGCCAAGGACCCATCAAGGAAAGTGGGGAAATTTCCCATAGCTACTACTGTGTAGATAGGTTTATAACTTTACGTTCCGACCAAATAAAATAATCAAACAGCAATAGAGGGTAGATTGGATATTTCCTGTGAAGGAATAAACAACCAGATTAAAAGATAAAGCAAAAAGTCTTTATTGAAAGTGTCTTTGTAGTAGTTCATCAGTTTTCAGGTTATTTCCTCAGATAAAACAAAATAAGCACCTGGAGTCAGAATATCAGGTTAAACAGACAGACAGGATGTAAATATGATTGGGTTCTAGGATTATTCAATAAATCAGGCACGAGTTAAAGAGGTGGAGTAAAACTACAAAAAAAAAACCAAAGTACATTCATGTATAATCTCTTTAAGTAGAAATACTACCTATGAAAATAAATGCTCACAGAAAAAAAAAAGACTTAAGTGATTTTACCGATTAGAAAGTGGTCACACAAAACGTTTTAAATTATTATTACCAGGCTGACTTTAACATCAACAGCAGAGCTTCCCCCTTATTTCCCGCTTTATACAAGGAGAACATATATTGCACAAATAAGAAAAAACTGTTTTCGTTGTATTAGGAGAACACAGGAATCAAAGAACACGCTCCCATCGCGGTTACAGAGTGCAATGTTTACAATCTTTAAGGAACCGTCTGCATATCCGGCTGAATGGACACAGGGGGTTCCTCCAAAGCAGTCGGTCTGTGGATTTAAAACCTCAGTTAAAGGGAAAGCAAACCCTCTGGGGGATCCCTGCGGTGGTGTGGGAACCAGTCACCCTGCTGGCTGTTTCACTGGATGAACTGAGGTAGACTGAATTAGGAGACAACTAGAAGAAACGGTTGAACTCAACCGTACTGAACTGAATAAAACGGAACTAGTTTGATGCTGCTTGATAATAAAATAGACCAACTTCAGTCCATATGGAAAATAGAGGCTAATAACTACCTGAAATCTGATTCAATCTAAATCTCCATGCCCCTGTTCTCCCTTGTGCCATTAACATCAAAAGCTCCCATAATTCTCAAAACAAACCTCTGTGGACTCGTGCATTCTCATGCATTCATGCTTACAACAGACACAAGTTTTACAGTTTGACCTGATGTCTTTCTCAGGACCTTGATGCTGCATGATGAGGTTTTTTTTTTCTTATTTGAACCATTAAAAGAAATGTTGAGCCAGTCTGCTGCAGTGAATTAGTTTTAAAGCTAGAGGGCAGCACAGCAATTCTAACAAGGTTTTTAGTGGCTTGAGTTGTTAAAGAGTGAAAGAGCTGAAATGTTCTGACAATAAAAACAATAATAATAATAATAATAAAAACTGAACACAATGGTGCATCTCAAGTTCAGTAATTTTGATTGTTACAGAGAGAAAAAGTGAAACTTAAAAGATTTAGGACACATATGGCTCTTCACAGAAAGCTGTTTATGGAAGGTTAAGTGGAAGGAAAAACTCTGCTAGAAAAAGATGAAGTGGCAAGGATAGTCCCAAGTCTGAAAGTATCCCTCCATGCAGTGAACATAAAGAAAGAAAAGAGTCATTTCCAAAATGGGATTTTCTAAAAGAGAAGACAGATTTTTAGGTTTAATTCAAGCTATAATTATCAAACCAATAGAAATAAATGCTTTACTAATGTTATGAGTCATGAATCTAAACGAATCTCACTTATCAAACAACTTAACTTTTCAATGCCTTAATCTTAATTGATTGAGATGCACCAGTTAGAGAACACGGTGGGTCTAAGTAATGAAAATCTATCGATGAAATGAAAGAATAAGAAACTCACATAGAGAAACACAAACACACACAGTCCCATGGCGTTAAAATCAAGTCTCAGGTTCCGGTGGACCCAGTCAGTTCCTCCCCAGCGACTACAGGGAGCAGTTTCCCTCTGGGTTGATCTAGACGATGATGGCTTGTTCTTCTGAAAGCTCTGCAGATGTTTTCAGTGCAGTTTAATATGCAGGATAAGGCAACCGTTGAGCGCTTTAAGTTGGAGGGTGTTTGTGCCGTCCAGTCCTTTCTCCTTAAACTTTAGTGGGCTTTGCCGTTGCCGTTCATGTGGCAGACGTCGGATTTCGGTACCTCGGTGCTGTAGAGACAGTCCAAGAAACCCCGGGAGATCTCCGTCACCATGGACCTGTCCGGGATGGACTGGGCCATGCCGTAGATGGCTCCCTGAAAGAAACCAGAGTTCAGGCAAACGCAGAGAACTGCCGATCACTTCCATCAGAGGCGTATGTGTGCAAAGCAGACTCACCATTCCTGTGGTTTTCTCTTTGGGGTTCTTCATGATGATGGCAACCTGTTCTTTGACTTCACGAATAAACCGATCAGCCACCCCAGGCTGGGTGTGCAGCACCGTGCAACAAATGTGGATGCTGTGAAAGTTGAGATTATGCTTCCTTAATACAGTGACTTAAGGCAGGTACTGATTCCGTATAAGTTCAAAAAATATCCACTGGACTTGGTTCCCAAGATTTGAAGACGTTTCGCCACCTCTCCAAGAAGCTTTCTCAATTCAAATGTCTGAGAAAGCTTCCTGGAGAGGTGGCGAAACGTCTTCAAATCTTGGAAACCAAGTCCAGTGGATATTTTTTTGAACTTTTACGGAATGACTATGACCTGGATGACTGAGAATCTTCATCGGCAAGTGCTGAGAATGTCAAAGCTCAGACGGAACACAGTTCGTCTTCGGATAAAACCGTAGAGAGAAAACTACTAAGGTCATCTACGATTGGACGACATGGTTTGTAGAATCAGTGAAATATTGTCGTGATGATGAGTGGCTCAGAAAATCTCATCCTAACTTCAATCTTTACCTAAAGGCTGAAATGTTGACCTTTCGTCTCATTTTTTTATCCTTAAGTTCACAAAATAAAGCTAAAGGTCTTAGAAATGAAAGATCTGCCAAGGGATTTCTGATCAGAATTGAATTCTTATTAAAATAATATTAGTCTACATTAGTTACCCCTTGAATCCAGAGCAGAACCTTTTCTGCAGCAGAAGTATTAAGGCCAATTTATGCTTCTGACGCATGGCCTCTAAAACTGTCAAATCTGTCTCTGTGCGCGACCGTGCCCCCCGCGCAGAGGTTCTGCATCTCAAAAAAATTCTGACTACGCGTCGGACGGTCGCAAACCCGCGCAGACCTCAAGCTGAAGTTCTCAGACAAAAAGCAGCTGTGATTGGTCCTTGGTATGCCTTTCCGGCTGTCTCTGTGGTCATCCCTCTCGATTCGGTGCCGGGGCACGCCATTTTAAAAACTGAGGAACAACTACAATGGACAACTACGATGAAAGGTTAATCGAGGAGGTTTCGGAAGTACAATCCGTCAAAGTTCTTGCGAGTTCTCGAATAGGCTCCCCCTTGCGCTTTGGCGGGAAACTGACATCCCTGCAAACTCAAGCGACATTTCATGTGTGCGGATGCAGAAGTCTAATCTGCCCTTTAGTGGTACCTTCTAGAGTTTCTTAATGTGGCTCCTTTCCTGTGCTGCCACTTTCCATCAGGCAAACATTGTGTCTACTACAAAGGCCTTATAGTTCAAGTTATTTGGGTTAATGGGAATCATCTCTGTAGATATAATGACAGAGGCTTGGACTGATCGCTGACTTCAGAAAGTACTCCAGCCTCAGAGCATTTGCATTACGTTGTGTTTAATATCTTAGAGAGAGATTTCAGCTGAGCTACTTATAAGAATAACCGAGTGTGTGTGGGTTTTTTCTCGTCAATAGAAAGTACTCCAGGCTCAGCCTTTATGGGCTTGCTTGCATTTTGCAGGCCGAGCTGTTGTTGCCATTAACTTTGTGTTCCATCTTTGTTGTTTTTTGTCCCATAGAAAGTACTACCGGCTCAGTCTTTTTCTCTTAAGTCGCACCCAATTCTTTAATAAAGTTTCTGCTGCCAATAATTACACCCTTTCTACTCTGTTTTACTTATAAACTACCACCCTGTCACTCTTTCAGTCTACAGCTTTACACTTTTTCAGCAAACCCAACATTTTTACAGTTTAATTTGTGCACTTTCCTTTTTGCCCCATTAATTAAATCTTAAGGGTTCTATTGTTCTTGAAATAAATGTATTTTCCCCTAATCTGAGCAGATACGTGAGAAGAATAAGTGCATCTTAAATAATTGTCTTACTTTAATTATAGAAATAGTTATACCATTGGCCGATCATATTTTACCTGCTCCAATTTTGGGCGATTATACTTCTTAGAAAATAATTCATAGTTATTTGTAGATCCGTTTTTGTAATATTTTTGGACAGTGCCATTAACTAGTTATACTACCTTTATCTTACAATAGAAAGTACTCCTTTGCTCAGTTCCTGCTCAATTAATGAAGTTACAGATGTCATCATCGGGTTCCTTCAAATTGAAGGTACTCCTTGCTCTGACCTTCAGCCTCTCCTTTCTGTCACTCATTCACAGATGATAGAGATACTGAGCAGCATCTGCTGAAGGTTTCCTTCTGTTATAAGGAGTCCTTCCTCCCCACTCTCTCCACATGCTTACTCAGCAGGAGGGAATTAAACAGCTCTAAACTGTTTAGTGTAGTTTAACACACATCTCTGCAGCTTCTCTACTGTTACCCACTCTTTACTCCATCCAGACAGTGTCTTGCCCACGACCAAAACCTAATAAATTAGCAAAGATTCCCAAAGGAGTAAATCATGACAATCTAATTAAAATCAAAATAACTCCAATTGGGGAAAAAGTTAAAACAATTAAATGCGGTCTGTTTAACATAAGATCGCTTTCCTCTAAAAGTCTACTAGTTAATGACTTGATTTGTGATAATCACATTGACTTGTTTTGCCTTACAGAAACCTGACTGCAGCAAGAGGATTATGTGAGCATAAATGAAGCAACTCCTTCAAGCTATTTAAATTTTCACATCCCCAGAAGTTCTGGGCGAGGAGGAGGAGTAGCAACAATCTTCCAGTCTGACTTACTGATTACTCCCAAAACAATTAATACCTACAACTCTTTTGAACATTTAACCCTTAATTTCCCTGATCCAAATTTCAAGGCAAGAAAACCTCTTCTTTTTGTAACTTTGTATCGTCCACCAGGTCCTTACTCTGAATTTTTAGATGAGTTTTCAGAGTTCCTTTCTGATTTGGTATTAAATACTGACAGGGTCATCATAGTGGGAGATTTTAACATCCATGCTGACATTGAAGGCGATAGCTTAAGAGCAGCCTTTAATGCTATCTTAGACACTATTGGCTTTGTTCAAAATGTGAATAGTCCCACGCATTCTCATCTTCATACTTTGGATCTTGTGCTGACATACGGCATAGAATGTGAAGAAATAACAGTATTTCCTCACAACCCTGTCCTCTCTGACCACTTTCCAATAACCTTCAGGATTACTTTAACAGAGTTCTCCTCCCCCAAAAGAAGGTTCAATTTTAGTAGATCTTTATCAGATAGTGCAGTTATAAATTTTAAAGAATCTGCTTCCCTTTCTCTCTCCTCTGTGTCACTGAGCAGTGCTGCAGAGTGCAAAAGCTTAGCTTATTCCCCTTCACAGGTTGATGATTTTGTTGATGGGGTTGCTAGTTCTCTGCGTATTGCCTTAGACAACGCAGCTCCTTTGAAAATGAAAACCGTTAAAAATAGAAAGCTTGCTCCTTGGTTTAATGCAGAGCTGCGTACTTTGAAGCAAAATGCTAGGAAACTGGAGAGAAAATATCGCTCCACAGGCCTGCGAGAGTCCTTCCTAGTCTGGAAAAATGGTTTACTGCTGTATAAGAGGACCCTTTGTAAAGCAAGAGCAGCATACTTCTCCTCATTAATAGAGGAGAATAAGAATAATCCTAGATTTCTTTTTAATACAGTTGCCAAACTCACCCAGAGCCATAGCTCTGTTGAACCGTCCATTCCACCTGCTCTTAGCAGCAATGATTTTATGGGATTCTTTATAAATAAGATTGATCTTATTAAAAATAAGATCATAAGCACTCCTCTATCCACGATTGTACCTGAGGTAGTCATGGAATCTGAACCGGGTTTAGACTGCTTTGATCCAGTTGAACTCTCTGAATTAGCAAAATTATTGTCTTCATCTAAGCCTTCAACTTGTATGTTAGATCCAGTTCCAACCAGGTTATTTTAAGGAGGTATTCCCTTTGATCTCCTCCTCCATTTTAGATGTGATTAATCTATCTCTGTTACAGGGATATGTACCTAAAGCTTTTAAGGTTGCTGTAATTAAACCTCTGCTTAAGAAACCGTCTCTTGACCCAGATGACTTGGTCAATTATAGACCTATATCCAATCTTCCTTTCTTATCCAAAATTCTTGAGAAAGTAGTTGCCAAACAAGTTTGCGATCACTTCCACCATAATGAACTTTTTGAAGAGTTTCAGTCTGGCTTTAGAGCTCATCATAGCACTGAAACAGCTCTGGTGAAAGTCACTAATGATATTCTCATGGCCTCAGATAATGGACTTGTATCTGTGCTCGTCCTGTTGGATCTTAGTGCTGCATTTGATACAGTTGACCATAATATTCTTTTAGAAAGACTTGAATATTTTGTTGGAATTAAAGGAACAGCACTAGACTGGTTTAAATCTTATCTATCTGATCGAATTCAGTTTGTTCATGTTAATGATAGATCTTCAACACGCTCAAAGGTTACCTGTGGAGTACCACAGGGATCAGTGCTAGGACCAATTCTCTTTACTTTATACATGCTCCCAATTGGTAGAATTATTAGACAGCATGGGATTAATTTCCACTGTTACGCTGATGATACCCAGCTATATCTGTCTATAAATCCAGATGAAGCTAACCCATTACATAGATTACAGGCATGTCTTGAAGACATAAAAACCTGGATGACTCTTAACTTTCTGCTCCTGAATGCAGACAAAACAGAAGTTATAGTCTTTGGACCAGAGTCTCTGAAAAAGAAACTGATTAGCCAGTCACTTCATTTGGATGGGATTAAACTGATTTCAGATAATAAAGTAAAAAATCTTGGTGTTATTTTTGATCAGGACCTGTCATTTAAATCCCACATCAAAGAGGTTTCTAGAATTTCCTTCTTTCATCTGAGGAACATTACAAAAATTAGAAATATCCTGTCCAGGGGTGATGCTGAGAAACTAGTCCATGCATTTGTTACTTCAAGGCTGGACTATTGTAATTCTTTACTATCAGGAAGTCCACAAACTGTAGTTAAAAGCCTTCAGCTGATCCAAAATGCTGCAGCCAGAGTTCTAATGAAAATTAAAAAGAGAGATCATATCTCGCCTATCCTGGCTTCTCTTCATTGGCTTCCTGTTAAATCAAGAATAGAATTTAAAATCCTCCTTCTCACATATAAAGCCTTAAATGGCCAAGCTCCATCTTATATCAGAGATCTGATTATTCCTTATGTTCCTAACAGAGCACTTCGCTCTCAATCTGCAGGTTTACTAGTGGTTCCTAGAATTTCTAAAAGTAGAATGGGAGGCAGATCTTTTAGTTATCAGGCTCCTCTCCTGTGGAACCAACTACCAGTTTTAGTCCGTGAGGCAGACACCCTGTCTACTTTTAAGGCTAGGCTTAAAACTTTCCTTTTTGATAAAGCTTATAGTTAGGGTGGCTCAGGTTATCCTGAGCTATCTCTATAGTTATGCTGCTATAGGCTTAGACTTTTGGAGGACATAGGGACCCCCATTTCATCATTCTGCTTCATTCTCTCTCTGTTCTCCTATTCTGCAGAATCTGTTAGTTCAATCTCTAACCTTCTGCTCTCTCTGCTTTTCCTCAGAGTAGCTTTGCCTCGTCTGTTCCTGTTTGGCTGTGACGTCATCCTGGAAAGAAACATCAGCTGTGCTGCTTCTATCAACACCCTTGTTTATAGATGTTGGAGATCGGCCTGTTTTCCAGTGTGGTCCTGTTTCTCTGACCGTGACTGAGTGGATGTGCTATCTTCGTCCTCTGGCATGGGAGCTGCCTTGGAGCTCGTCTGCCTGGCTGTGTGTTTCCTGGACGGGGCCGCCTTTTACAGCTGCTTTTTGTATCTCTGCTTCTGTCTCCTTGAACCCCAGTCGGCCTCGGCAGATGGCCGCTCACACTGAGCCTGGTTCTGCTGGAGGTTTCTTCCTGTTAAAAGGGAGTTTTTCCTCTCCACTGTCGCTACAAGCATGCTTAGTGTGGGGGATTGTATTTGAGTCAATGAGTCAATGCAATCAACTGGTTTTCCTTAGATAGAAAACTTTGTATCAATTTGACTGTATGATCTGGTTGAACTGTAAAGTGCCTTGAGATGACATGTGTTGTGAATTTGGCGCTATATAAATAAACTGAATTGAATTGAATTGAATTAAACTAAGAGAGAGAGTTAGACTGAACTAGCCTGTTTCGGGTTGACCAGAAAATCTTGGGACGGCAATGAACTCTGTCCAACAGATGTAAACTGCAGCCGTTTGCCCTGTCTCGGGTCCATCACCTACCTGGACGGGTACTGCAGTGTGTTCAGGTTCCAGCCCTTTGACGTCAGCGCATTTGAAAGGCGGAAAATGTCAAACACGTCGGAGCCGATGGCCACCACGGACACCTCCGGGTTCCCGAACACAAACACTCCTTTAATTTTCTTGATCCTGTCCAAAACAAAGCCAGGCGTTAGAAGGTCCGCTGTATGTCGACGTCGGCACCGCCGACAGGATGCGAGCGTCTTACTCATTTCTGATCTTGCGAGCCGTGCTGATGATCTTCCTCGTGGCGTCCACGTATCCGCTCTCCCCCATGTACATCATGGTCGCCCAGCAGGCGGCGATGATTCCTCCTGGCCTGGAGCCCGCTACAGAGGGGGAGGCGTAGATCCCCCCCTGCCAGTCTGGAGCCACAAAGTACTGGTACTGACGGTACTTTTTATCGCTGTAGAGAATCACTGAGGAGCCTTTGGGGGCGTAGCCATACTGGGGATGAGAGCGTCGCAGACACATTAACAAAAGGCTAAAATGACTGAAGGTTTAAAATCATTAGAACAGAAAATAAGCCATGTTTTATCTTTGCTTTAAAGTTTTATTTTGAAGGAAGAAATGAAGTAAATTGTGGATAATGCAGTTCTGAACCCGGGGACGGCAAAAGAAAAGGAGAATTTAAGGCAGTGCAAGAGCTACTTAGGCTACGTTCACACTGCAGGCCTTGATGCTCAATTCCGATTTTTTTTGTGAAATCCGATTTGTATGTGATCTCCTGTGTAAACTGCAGTCATACAACGCAAGCCGAAGCGCATCTAGCGATCTTTCCCAACCTTAAAAACTCAATCTTTCCAAGATGGTTAAACATAAATACCGCTTTCGTCATCATCGTGCACCATGGTTGTTGTTTTTCTTGCCGCTTCTGTGTAGCAAGACCCAGAATAGTGACCTTTGTCGGGTATTAATGACGTTCAGGTTGGATGAATGCGACCTTGTCGTTTAGACACAGGTCGCCTTTGAAAAGATCAGATTCGTATCGGATTCAGGACCACACAGCCAAGTGGCCTGGGTCGCATTGAAAAAAATCGGATCTGTGTTGTTCAGACTGTCATGAAAAGGTCAGATCCAGGTCGCATATGGGCAAAAAAAATCAGATTTGGGTCACTTCAGGCTGCAGTGTGAACATAGCCTCAGTTTGGTCTGCTTGTTTGGTCCAAACAAAAAGCAGACTTCCTTTTTTTGCTTTGTCGAGTTTCTCTTTAAATTGTACTTCATGATATGTGATGTTAATTTTTTGTGAAAACAAGACTGTTAACATTTTTTGAATTAGCTACTTAACTGAAGTCAAAACCGATGCGTGACATTTGTACCGTTACCGTTATGTTAAAGGTATAGAGGACAATCTTTTATTTCCAGGTGGATCATCCAAATAAGTGGTCCTCCTAATTGTCAATCATTCTGATTATATGTTTACATAAGGCCACCCTAAGTGCTCGTCCCATTAGCCATCTTTTTCTGCATATGAGCACTTTCAGGCGTATATCTGTGGTGGGCTACAGTTTCAGACACTCATTGAAGCTCACCTTTTTTCGCAGCTGTTCATTGAAAATGGCCGAGTGTTGTGGTCATTTATGCTAAATTTTTGTAATTTGTTATTTCTACCAATTTACTTTTCTTCTTTTGGTACGTAAAATATATTTAAGATCATTTAGAACCAAAATGTGTAATTAATTTTTTATATCTGGAATTGTTTCAATGAAGTTGTTAATTGTTAGCCCCTCCTATTAATTTGAGTAATTAAGAACACCGGGTGCCAGTGGATTGTTTTGTTAAATTATCTGGTGTCGACAGGAGGTTTTGTAAAATACTTTTTTTGACCACTTTTTTAGAGCTTCAAATATTAAATTAACATAATTTATCATTTCTAATAAGCTGCAAAACATTTTTAATAAATATTTTTTCTTTGCTTTTACAATAAATAAGTCAAGCTGGAAGAGAATGCAAAGCCAAAAACCACCTGTTACCACCAATGGCCTTTGTTGGAAATTTTGGTAATTTTTGGAAAAGAAGGCTGCAACACCGTAACCTGACTCCGCCAGATTTGCTCCGCATATCCATCTGGAAACCTTCCGTTGAAGTAATTTTGGGAAGGGGCGAAAATACTGGTTAGCTGATTGGCCTATGTTGGTGATAGACGGGCCAAATAAACCAATCAGATCAACGAAGCATATGACGTACTAACAGAGCGACGGCGAAAACACAACCACAAGATCAAACTCTTGCCGAAACCAGTCGGGAGAAGAGCAAAAACATCTTTTCCTCTGAGAAAAGCCTCCAGAGCAGTGTTTTGCTCTTCTTTCAGTGAAGAAATACTCTGTAATTCCGATAAAACTTGCTCGATAGCCACGCTAACGCTAGTTTCATCGGCTGAAGCCGCCATGTTCTTTAGACTGAACTGTCGCGCTTCTCGTTGCGTCACACCTCAACCCGCCTCAAAGCCAACGCTGATTGGACGTTCGTTTGGTGAACGGCTCCAAATTTTCTTTAACGGAGAGTCTCCAGACTGATCTGCGAGTGAAACCTTGAAAGCTCACGAGATCAGGCTGGTCTCATGAGGCTAGCGACACCGATGGTTTAAAGAGAAAAAGTGTCTACAAAGTGTATGAGAAGAAAAGAAAGGCCTCAGAAGAGGCAGATATATCTCAGAATGCTTTGCTTGGAGAGTTCTCCTAGAAAAGCATTATGGGATTTGCTGTCACAGCGGCCCACTGTCGCCACAGGCTGCCGCTACCTAACAGTTCATTATATAGTCCGCGCTCTATATAGTGATAGAGGGATTTTTTTTCCCCATACAAGTATACATACCAATTTTTACTTTCTTTTTATTTTTTTCCCCAAACACAACATCCAACAGAATCTGCACATATATTCTGTACATGTATTTAACTGTAAGCAAACTATTTACAGTCTGTAACTCTATAAGGGCACCCAAACCCACACTATTAACCAACAAAGCCTGATCTCCATGGTTAAAATAAAAGTTCGCCAATTTTCCCAATAATTTTTTAATTTTTCAGATTCAAATCTGATGGAAAAAGTCAGCCTTTCCATAATATAAATATTATGTATTATTCCAACCCAATCTTCCATTTTAGGAGCTTCTGCCTACAGCCATTTCCTAGTAATGGCTTTTTTTTCTTGCTAAATTTTTTTTTAAATGAAGAGGGCGGTCTTTAAAAAAACAAAAAATAGAGAAAGTCCTCCACAATACCTTTAAGAGAAAAAAAGTGTAGTTTTGCTATTAGATATAAGCCATAAATCTAATGATAAAAACTAATAAATAAAGAAAAAGGCACATTTTGATTCAAAAGAGAAAATAAAAGATTATTCCCACCGCTGGATTCGATAAAAAAAGGCTTGTGGGTTCAAACAATGGTCGCTGGTTGCTACCGCTCCTTACCTTGTGGGTGTCTGCAGAGATGCTGGTTACGCCTTTCACTCTGAAGTCAAATGGGGCGAGTGAGTAACCAGCCTTTTCCATGAAAACAATGAGAAATCCACCCAGGCAGGCATCCACATGCAGCGGGATGTTGTAGCGGACAGCCAGCTGCAACACAGCGAGGGAAAGTTTCAAACAATGGACTTCCCTGTTTCTGTTTTGGGCCTATTGAGTTGGGAAAACATGACGACTCTGACCTTGGCTACTTCTTCAACGGGATCCATGATTCCGTGGGGAAACTGGGGCGCCGAGCAGACCAACATGGCTGTGTTTCTGCTGATGGCTCTCTTCATTGCCTTACATGACCATCAAAAAAGGAGAATAATGAGCGTCTGACAGCAGAAAACATACACTTTCAGAGCACGTCGCCTTCTCACCTTCACGTCCACTTTCATGGTTTTCTGGTCGAGAGGAATGTGGACAAGCTTCATCCCAAAGTAATGGGCCGCTTTGTCGAAAGCTGCATGGACGCTCACCGGCGCCAGACTGCAGATAAAAACAGAAAAGATTTGATCACTTTTACTGGAAAAGCAAGTCGTCAGCAAACCGTGTCTCACAAAGCTTGTCTTACATTTCAGGGTACTTCACACCGCGCTCGTGTGCCATGTCTCTGTATGCTTTGCAGGCCATCAGAATGCTCTCAGTTCCACCTGAAGTGACCTGGGAAAACAAAGGAGGTGGGGGGGAGAGGTGTTTGAATGAAGCAGATCTTCCATCAACGGTTTATTGTAGAGTCTGGTTTCTCACCGTTCCACAGGAGTTCGGTCCTCCACGGAACAGGGTGCAAGACATCCGGACAACCTCAGCCTCCATCTTCCTGACGCCAGGAAAGATGTCCGGGTGAAGGGGGTTGCTCCATGCAAAGTCTCCGTACACCTTCAGACAACAAACAAGAGGAGGGAAAAAAAAACTAAAATACCTTCACTTAGAACAAACAAGCTCAAACTTGTCAACTTTTTGGCAAAAAGAAAGTATATCTTCTTTATATTCTAAGGTTTCACACATCAGAAAATGAAAGCAAATGTCTAAATCTGCGTTCAGGTATGAAAAACACGTTTTAAGTTATGATTATTTAAACAAAGACGGCCTCTACACAGAAAGGCTATATGTGTGTAAAAAAAACTAAGTACACCCCTGATGCTTCCTCAGGATTAAAGAGCTAACGGCTCATCGTTAGCTCAATTAGCTGGTCCATTGGGCTAACAGTGCCAGGATCCACCGGGATTTGATCAGGCTTTATTTTACTATTCATTGGTCGATTTTGTGGGAATTTTACTATGATTTATTTTTGCATCTCTAAAGATCTTAAAAGTGGAACTCATTGAAGAACTAAAGACATAATTTTTTTCATATTACTAGAGAAAAAAGGACTACTCCGTATTATTTAGCATCTTTCTTGTTTATTATTTGCAATGTGTTAAGGCCGAATTACACACATAACCACTGCTCCCCGAGCGCTGCACAAGGGCAGCCCACTGCCCCCCAAAGGGGCTGGATTATTTCATTGCCCTGTACTTGTGACAGTGTAGTGACAATAATCCATCCATTTTCCATCACGCTTTATCCTATCAGTGTGGGGAGGGGGGCTGGTGCCTAGAGGCAGGGTCCACCCTGGAAAGGTCACCAGACCTTCACAGGGCAACACAGAACCAAACAGGACGAACAACGATTCATACACACACCTAAGGAGAATTTAGAGAAGCCAATTCACCTAACAGTCATGTTTTGGACTGTGGGAGGAAGCCAGAGTACCCGGAGAGAACCCACGCATGCACAGGGAGAACATCAAACCCGGAACCTTCTTGATGCAAGCCAGCAGCAGTGCTACCCACTGACCAGCCCCGTAATGAAAATAAAAGCTAGAAGAAAAGAAAGTTATTTTTTCCACACCAGGTTTGTGAGAAACAAGAGGAGCATACCTTCACTAGGAGTTTGGTCAGCGTCTCATCACCCCAGTACACTGCACCAGAGACGCAGCCTTTCTCCCACTGCACCTCATCTGAAAAATCAAACGCAGCGTCTTCAGAATCGTTTACTTAAACCATAAATTATTCTGATCGACTGAACCAAGATGCTCACTCACTGAGGGTTTCATACTCTTTGATTTTCTCCATTACTTGGCTCTGACTTAGACCTTTAGGGGGCAGCTTTGTAGTGTAGCTCATCCCTTCCTTCAGAGTGCACAGACTTTGAGACATGTCATCCAGAGCCTTGTTCAGCTGCCTCTGAATCTGTTACACATGGAAGAAGAGAGGAGAAAATGGGATTTTTTTACGTAAAGGTGCTAAAATCAGCAGATTTGAGAGAATAATGAAGTAACAGTGTGACTGGTTGAACTAAAGTAACCACCTTATCATGAGGGCAAAGTGTGCCAAAGCCCCCCCCCCCCTTATGAAGTCATCCTAGAGTGACTCACAGGCGTCCCAGACATCATTTAGAACACAAAGAAGGAACAGATTTACCGCATTAAAACTTACACTGTCGCCAACAAAGGGTATTTTCCTGATGAGTCGAAAGCACTGCTTCTTAATTCGGGATGTGAGACCTAAACCAGAAACACAAGGCAGCAGCTGTGGTCAGGCATGAGAGGAGGAAGGAAAAAACAGAAAAAAAGACATCTGACTGTGACTAAGCCATTAATCTCAGGCAACACGTTCAGGCTGTTAACTCATCATTTTTTTCTTCCTAGCTTTTTATTGTTCCAGATGTTTTTGACTTTTACTCTGCATGACTTAGACTTGACTTGAACTTAGACTTAAACTACTTTTATTGTCATTTTGCATACACATAGTGCATACAAAACAAAGTGTGTTTGTTCTGAGCTGTAGGTGGCTGATATAAATGAAACGTTTTCACCTCAAAACCTTTTTATTGAGCCTGAAGGTTCTGCTCTTGCTGTAACCCAAGTTTAATTTCTGTATTTTATTTTCATTCAAAGATTTGTTTTTATTCAATTAAAACACTTTCTGTTTATGTGTCTGTTTTATTAATCTAAGCCAGCCCTGCCCCTTCCTACACACTGCTAGTCAGCTGGATGACTAGTTTAAAAGTAACAAGTTCTAACGTTACGCAGCCGTCTGCAAGCTAGCTACTCGACCCAGCTAATAGCTAACCTGACTCCGCCAGATAGATTTGCTCCGCATATCCATCTAGAAACCTTCCGTTGAAGTAATTTTGGGAAAGGGGCGAAAATACTGGTTAGCTGATTGGCCTATGTTGGTGATAGACGGGCCAAATAAACCAATCAGATCAACGAAGCATATGACGTACTAACAGAGCGACGACGAAAACACAACCACAAGCCAGGCTACTCTTGCCGAAACCAGTCGGGAGAAGAGCAAAAACATCTTTTCCTCTGAGAAAAGCCTCCAGAGCAGTGTTTTGCTCTTCTTTCAGTAAAGAAATACTCTGTAATTCCGATAAAACTTGCTCGATAGCCACGCTAACGCTAGTTTCATCGGCTGAAGCCGCCATGTTCTTTAGACTGAACTGTCGCGCTTCTCGTTGCGTCACACCTCAACCCGCCTCAAAGCCAACACTGATTGGACGTTCGTTTGGTGAACGGCTCCAAATTTTCTTTAACGGAGAGTCTACAGACTGATCTGCGAGTGAAACCTTGAAAGCTCGCGAGATCAGGATGGTCTCACGAGGCTAGCTAATAGCTGCTTCACTACGACCACCAAGAACTTCTACTGTAGATTTTTGCATATATCTAAATGACATAAATAACATAAAACTTATATTATCCTATTAATAAGAAGAATTGTTTTGTTAGATCCTTTTAGCAGCAGGGTAAATAATAATTTTTTCTTTTAAATAAAAACTAATAGATTAGATAATTTAATCCTGTTTTTATTCTTATCTTTGGGTTGACACCATAAAGTGTGCCGAACCTACTGATACATCGGTCGGCCAATATATTAGCTATTTTTTTTTCTACTACTGGCATCAGCCGATACGTCGATCTCTGCTACCTGTTGTTGATGATCCGTTTAATTTGTTAATACATTTTAATTTTTTTGGTTTCAATTCAAATTTGTTTGACATTTTTTATCATCGTCTCATTTTTATTTGGTAAATGAAGGAAGAAAAAGCAACAAAAGGCTAAAAGAATCGGCTGAAAATAAATTGGCAGCCAATCAGGAATCAGATAAATTTATGCCAAATGAATCGGCAAGGGCTTTAAAAACCCTGCAAACAAACACGAACTTATACTTATTCCATGATGATAAATGAAAACAGAATCAGCCTTAAAAAAGGAGAAGTGCCACAAGAAGGGCCGAAATAATTAATTGGATTAATCGATTATTGATATAAATTAAAAGCTAATTTAATAAGCAGTTAATCGTTAAATGGAGTATAGAGACTCTAAAACATGCCTTTAGCTGACAGAGCGAACCCGATTATAGCAGTAATTATATCAAAAATGTAAAAAATTATAACTTTTTTTTTTGTTTGTTTAAAAATGTATTTTCACTTGGTTTAATTTCCTAAAAAAATACTCTGTAAGGAATCTTCGCGTATCCAATAATTGATTAATCAAAACAGTAATTGACAATTTGCTAAATAATCGTTAGTTGCAGCCCTAAATGTTATTGTTTTAATCCAAACCCCCGCAGGGGAACTCTGCATGTATGCATCAGGTGTAAAGATTACTTTCTTGTTGGAAGAGGAATCCTTTGAGCCAGAGAAGTCCCAGCGTGGTGAGGACAGATGCTCCGATGATTTGCCACGGCTCCAGGTGGGAGCAGTGCGAGTTAATCTGCCTCCGGCCTTCCTCCAGGTACAGCAGCAGCATCTCCTTATACACCTCCAAGGCACTCTGCACACACAAATAAAACACACATCTAGTGTGAAACGGAGGCAGCGGTGGTTCAGCACAAAGTTACGACACATTAACCCAAACTTTCAGCACAATTACTCACATTGGAGGACATTGTTAGACCTACTAGAACCTGTTCTGTCTCACACTGATGCGATCAGTCAGCTGCAGGAAGAAATAACCAGCAGGGAAAGTGAGGGGGAAGCTTTCACCTCACTGGACAACTCCTCTGCCATCAGGCTCCTCCCACTAACCAAACCCTCAACACATCCAGCAGCCGGCTGTGACACGGTGAAGATCTCATTCCCGTCATCAGACACACAGGAAGTTCACTCAGCTTTAAATTATACTGCATTTCCTCTACTAGACCTGATCAAAAAGAAGTGTTTTACTATTTGTCATCAGCCTGAGCACCAAAGAGGATCTGGATACACTAATAATCAGAGTAACATGACAGTAAGATAACAAACAATTCATTGCATAAGCACGGTGAAAGTTATCTCTGTATTATCTCTCCGCAGAGGTGTGTTTACAACCCAACAGCTCCAGATTTGATAGGAAGGACCCTCCACATCAGCTGCAATCAGATGGACAGAGCTTAAGGTTCACAAATACGCTATCATTAGAGCTCGTTATCTGCGTGACCTCAACCATACATCACATACTGCACCTTGTGAAAGTATGCATAACCTTTGCATTTATTCAGGTTAAAAGCAGAAACAGCAAAGCTTTGCATTGGAGCTTATGTGACATGGCAATGAATAAAATATGCATAAGTGAACTGGAGGTAAAGCAGGGCTGTTTTTTAGATATGGAGATAGAAGATGAGTCAATATCGTTAATATAGAGATGGTCTAAGATGATTAGACTTTATGAATGCTAGTGGGTTAATTTTCAGCCATAATCTTGTGTTTATCTCCAGCTGTTTGTTAGAAAATGTGCCTGTGTGACATTTGGCATAAAGCTATAAGTCTGAGATGCTTTTTTATCATTTCTTTGAGGAAGGAAACACATTATGGAGATAAATATTGTATATTGCCCTACAGTTTGGGGGCACAAAGCCCGGATTGGAAGGAAATCTACACATCTCACATGAATATTTGATCCCATGAGGCTCATTTTTTAAATATCTTCAAGCAGGTATTGAACATACATTTTAATGATATTCTAAATTATTGGATATGGTTGTAAAAGAAGAGATGCTCTGGATTAGATCATAATAGTACTTTGCAGATGATGTAACATTAAATTCTGGAAGTTGGTTATAGATGATGGGAAGATTGATAAGGCTACATACATAGGAATCCTGGAGGAAACCAGTTAAAAGTAACAATTACTCCAAAGTGCCATAAAATTGTTTTAATTAAAGCATCATAATGTTCTAGAACGGCCTAGTCAAAGTGCAAAGCAACCAAACACATTTTATCACATAAAAACACAAAGATTAGTTGTTTTTATGAGATAGGTCCAAGCATTAGAGAATCTTTTAAAGGTGCAGGGGTCAAGTTCTAGTTCTGAAAAAGGCATAAAGCCTCAGGTGTTAATTGGTTTGTACAGATAAGGCTGAACATCAAGCTGAACCTCCCCTTAACCTTTTTGCAGGCCTCCCCAACCTCGGTCCTCAAGGCCCGCTGTCCTGCAGGTTTTAGAGGTTTCCCTGCTTTAGAACAGCTGATTATAATGATTGCAGTAGACCAAAAGCCTGTTAATCAGCTTTCAATTAAAATCAGATATGCTGGAGCAAGGAAACCTCTAAAAGCTGCAGGACAGGGGGCCTCGAGGACTGAGGTAGGGGATGCCTGCTTTATAGGACAAGTTAGCGTTTTTGATCACATACATACCCCTTACAAATGGATCCCCCTCCCCCTGTCCCTCAGTGAGGTCTAGAAGTACAAGATCTATATCATCCAGCCATTCAGCAAAGATGCTACATGGCTGTGCATCTTATTTTGGCATTTGTAAATGTAAATTAAGTAGGAAAAAAACTTAACAAGTCAAAAAAAAAGGTAAAAAGCTAATTGAAAAGTTAAAAAGTAAAGTGAAAAAGTTATTAGCCTAGTAATCAATGATATTTAGGTTTATAAACTAAAAATGTGAGTGCCAATATCAGCATTAATGCCTCTAAGGAGATGTTGGACCAAAAAAACAAAAAGTATCTAAAAAGTGTTTTTCATGAATTTCTTATAGAAGCAATTTTGTTATTTTCCTTAATATATTCTGGCAATTTGCTTTTTCTTGTTATTACATTGACATTAATTTTTGCCTTCAAATATCCATATTTTTTAATTTTCCAAAGGTAATAAGGTATTTTCCTGGATTCCAATAACAGTATTGGCCTGAAATTTAGATTTTCCAAGTATTTCACTGAGTGCGCTCTATAACGGACGTTGTCAACAGGGGGTCCGTGATCCCTAGGGGGCCACAGAGGTACTGCATGGGGATCGCAAAAGTTTTAGTTGATTAAACTTTTTTTCTCTTATTCCCCCTGCTATTTTTTTCCACTAATTGAAATGTCTTTAAATCCACATTAACATGAATTCAATACACTGCAGTAAACATAAATGGAGGCAGAAGATGTCTTTCAGTCATCAATGCAAACATTCAGCGACACACAGGAGCTCTTTCAAGCTGGACACCGTTTCATTCACAACACCTGTCCCATCAACCAGGAAACAGAATCAGAAATACTTTCCAGGTACTCAAAGATTCACTTCCATACAGAAATCCCATATTCTTATCTTCAGGTAAAACTACGGAAGAGGATTAGGGCCACTGGAAAAAAAGTAAACTGATTTTTAAATTTTATTTCAGTTTAACATGGGAAAAAAGTCAGAATTCTGAGATTAAAGTCAGAATTCTGACTTTAATCTCAGAATTCTGACTTTAATCTCAGAATTCTGACTTTTTTTCTCAGAATTCTGACTTTTTTTTATTGTCAGAATTCAGTCAGAATTCTGAGAAAAAAGTCAGAATTCTGAGAAAAAAGTCAGAATTCTGAGAAAAAAGTCAGAATTCTGACTTTAATCTCAGAATTCTGAGAAAAAAGTCAGAATTCTGAGATTAAAGTCAGAATTCTGAGAAAAAAGTCAGAATTCTGACTTTTTTCTCAGAATTCTGACTTTTTTCTCAGAATTCTGAGAAAAAAGTCAGAATTCTGACTTTTTTCCCATACTATACTGAAATAAAATAAAAAAAATCAGTTAACTTTTTTTTTTTTTTTCCAGTGGCCCTAATCCTCTTCCGTATAAAACAGAGTACATGTCAGATTAAATAATACTACTTCAGCGATAGCATCTAGGTGTTACTTTATTGTGTCTCATGTCATGTCTGTAGGTTAGGGTTGGACATTTTATCATCATCTCCCTTTTATCTCCTCTTTCTTTCAGCTTTTCTCATTTTTTCTGTTTTTCCTCTTCTGTTCTACTTACATTGCAGTGTTCATATAATCTGTAAAACTCCCTGCATAATTATAATAAAGCAATTTATATGCATGAAACAAGCAGAAAACTATGGCGGTAGCCGTACTGCTCCACTAGTGAAAGTAGTGAAAGTAAAATATGTTGGGCTCTTTTTGGTATCAAGACAATTAGTCTTATTGCCTCGTCGCCAGACAGGACACTGTCAATAAAAAAATAAAAGAATCAGAAATACTTTAATAAACCCAGGGAGAAATTACTTTCGTTACATTACTTCATATGTAATAGAGTGACTATAGGACCAGTTTGATTTAACACTATTTCATACATATATTTAATTAGAAGGTCCCCGCTCCATCTTGCCATCAGTTTGGGGCCCTTGGCCTGGAAAAGGTTGAAGACCCCTGCTATAAAGGGTTAAAGGCAAATAAAGTGAAGGGGGTGCCGGTGAGCCAGAGGGGTGGGAGACCAGAACACAGCTGTCATACCTGCCTGTTCACCAGTATCTCCTCATTCAGGTTTGGCAAGAACCAGTGGAACAGCAAGAAAGTCACATAACAGAGCATACCTGTATCCCTGTTCCTGACAGCTACAATGGTTAGAAGCAAAGGCCACTGTAATAAAGCTGAGCTGTAATGTTTTTACCCTTTACTTCACATTTATGTTCACTAATAATTCTCCAGCTCACTCCTTGCCCCAGGAAAACTTAAACCTAGTTTACACAAAGGATTATGCACCCAGTATTGTTGAGCAGTAAACGCCCATTCCTTTGCCCCCTCCTCCCTCTGCAACATCTGACTATTCTGAAATCAGACCTTTTGTTGTCTCCCAGGAGGCTGTGCTCTCATGGAAATATGAGGTGGTTGCTTTAGGAAGGAGACACATCAAGGCAGTGACACACTGATTTCACAATAAGTCAACACAAATAAGCTCAATTTAACTAAATGTTGTGTAATAACATTTTATTTTTTACTAAAAAAGCTGAAATGTTTAAAGTGGAGCCAATTTCTTCTGTTTTGATTGATCTAAGGGGAGTTGAGACAGAAAGATCTGCAGTGACAGCAGTCAGAGGGGTTATCAGTTACAGTTCAATGTGCTCATTTAGGAGACATCATGCTCCAATCTGAAAGGATAACAACAATAACACATTGTTTTGACTTCCGGCAGGTTCATAGTGGAAGGGATCTCCAGTTTTAACCTGCCTTGGCTGACATCAACAACAGCAATGCTCTTTAACCCCTCATACAAGAGTCTACATCAAAGGAAAAACACACAGGCGACTCAAAAACAAGTTAAAAAAAAAATAAAATGTATTATATGTTGTCATTTGTCGGAGGATAAACAATAGCGGCGGTTAAATTCAACATTTGTCCTTTTAATAAAGTGCATATTTGTCCTTTGTACATCCATAAGGAAAACAGTTTACTTATTAGCTAACTTTACTACATAAACAATAAGTCCGTCACCAAAAGAAAACAAAGTCGAGAGAAACATACCCAGTAATCCATGGTTCCGGGTTGAACTGTGGTTTTTATTCTTCTCTTTGTTGTCAGATAAATGAGCTGAGAAAGCCTGACTTTCAGCTTACATCTATGAGCTACTGCGAAGCGCAGTAAGCTAACCCTGATTCAGGAAGCAGCTTCCGCTCTGCGCACGCGCAGATCTCACAACGCTGCTTATTGCTCCAACTATAGAAAATCCGGTTGTCTGTTAGATCCACATGACTTGTAGATCTGAGCTGTAAACAACAGATTATTTAATCCATTAACATTACTTCAAATTATATTTTTTATTTTTTCCCCACAGTTGCTAAAAAATAAAAAGCAACAAAGTGAAATTATTTCA